TAATTGCGTGATTACTGTAATTGAACAAACTATTCAATTAAGCGGGTTCGGATAATTGGTTCCTCGGTTAATTGAACTAAAATTTGTGCAAAATTTGATGTGCAATTATTCGAAAAATACTGTATATTTATTGTATGCAGAAGGTCATTTATGCATGTCGATGTCGACACATGCCTTCTATAAGCATAAGTCTTTGATGGAAAAATATTATTGTTTTCGATAAAATGATTTATCCTTTGTTTAACCATTATGTTTATTATTTTAGCCAGGACAGAAATTAAAGTAATGGGTCTAAAATTAGTCACAGTATCGAGATTCTTACCAGGTTTTGGTATGGGAACAATCTTTATTTTGCGCCATTCATCCAGATAATCACACTGTCTCCATAGTTTGTTATAAGCTGCCAGCAGTTTATGTTTTCCTTCATGTGACATTTTGTCTATCATTTTGTAGGTAATACCATCCAGGCCTGCTGCAGATGGTTTGGTTTTTTGTTAAAGAACATTATTTAGCTCATCGAAAGAGAAATCGGTGCATTGCTGATTGACATTTGTTTGAAAGACAGTTTGAAAGTTATTGGGAACTTGGTCTCTTAGATGACGAAGATATATTTCATTATTATCAGAACACCATTTTGAATTAGGCTTTGATTCAACAAAAGATTTACAACCCTTCACATATCGAAATAGTGCTTTAGAATTAGACGCTTTGTTTAATTCTGAAATATTTCTGTCTCTGGTTTGTATTTTGGCCTGTTTAACAGCTTTTTTGAATTTGTTTATAGCTAAATTAGCTTCTAAAGCATTTTTGGTGCTTTTACAACTTTCAAACTTTTTCTCTGCCGCTTCCTCGAGACGTCGGTACTTATTTAAATCATCGTTCCACCAAGAGTTTATTTTATATTGGGTCCGATAACAAAAGTAGATTTTTGGATTAAACAATTTAAATCCGTTTGGATGTTATTCATGTTGTCAGTGATTTGTAAGTTGACTATGTTTTTAAGATGTTTCATTGCAAGAAAAGACTGCTTTTTTATACGCACCTCGTCAATTTGTATTAGAATTTGTCTGTGATAACTTCCTCCAATTGAAGTTTTTATTACCCGCCACGTCACGTTTGATAGTATATTTGTAAAAGTTAGGTCTAGTACTGAGCCTAATGAATTATCAAAAACATTTTTCTTAAAAGTTGTGAAACCATCATTGATACGGAAAACGGAGCTGTCCATCAGGGTTTTAACGGAAGAACCACGGACTGTCTCAAAATTGTCACCACATGCTTTGCTTCTTGCATTGAAATCACCAGCTATAAGAACATTCGGTTTTCTATCCAAAAAATATATAAGTTTGGAAAGTTCAATTTTTAGATCATTCGATTTCACAGAGTGTGGAAAATACACCGACACAATTGTCAGATTTGGAGAAAGGTTTGTGTTTCACAAGTCAAAATGTCTAAGTTTGAGTTAAAATTGATTTTTAAAATTTAACTTTGCTTTTATGTAATATGGCAACACGGCCGTAATTGTCGCTTCTTTTTTTTTAAATTAGATTGTAGTTTTTAATATACGAAGTTGATAGATTTTCATCGACATTAAAAATTTCACTGAGTATACATCATACATACATGTCACACTTGTTTAAATAAATTTCAAGATAGCTTTTGTTTTTATTCAGACTTTGAATGTTGTGTTGCAGTATTCTCATTTGTAGGTTTGTTGATATTTATTGAAGATTCTTGATATGGTGCATTAAGAGCATTTGTAAAGTTGTTTAAAATTTCCAATCCTTCTGCGCAATTTGTGTTCGATAAAAAAATTGCCATTTGTTTGGTAAATGTATTTAAAATTCTTTCATATTCTGAAACCTTAGAAAAATTGCCATAGTCAAAAATTGGCCTAGTAGGCGTTATTGTTTCTGGATTCGCTATTTCTAGAACATTTTTTGGGGGTAAAGCTACCACTTTATTATGTTTTACTCTAGTTTGTCTGCGGTTAAACTCTTGGTTAAAAGACATAGCCTTAAGATTTTGTTGATATTAGAGGAAATTGATTTTCATATTGTGGATCATTCAGAATCTCATAGTAGTTTGAATTGTCTTTACGCAGACATTCTTTCCTTCATATTTTCGATATTGCCATTAGTTCCAATATATTGTTTTCATTTTCATACCTGGGGCATTTTTTTGCATCCATAGCATTATGGTCACTCATATTGCAAAGTATGCATATTTTAAGAGTGCAGTAAGTAGGACATTTTATTGTGGAAAGACATACATCACACTTTTGTTCAGTGCAGTCATTTGGGCAAGCTATATTTTGGCCACACAGGAGACATCTTTTTTTTTTTTTTGCTCTACATCTTAGCGCAATGTGTCCTAAACGGCCACAGTTTTTGCAAAGACGAGTTGACGGTATGTATAATTCACTTTCAACGAGGGAATTACACATTTTTACTTCTTTTACTATAAAGTCCGCAACCAAACCAACCTTAATTGTTTGTGATGGAACATAATTACCATTTTCATTTTTGTAATTGAATCTAAAAACCAATACGGCTTTAAAGTCGTTGTCACTTTGGTTAATTTGATCAATTATCATTTTTCCATCGAATTCAACAGGTACCGATCTTATAACATAGAACTTTTGCACAAATCTATCTGGGATGAACGCATTTAGTCCAATGCGTTTCACATTTGGATCTAAAACAAAGTTATTTGCGGAGTTGTAGTTATTAAATGTAAGACGGAAAGTTTTGTATGCAATATTTTTGGAAATAAAATGGGCATTAATATTGGCTTTGTCCAATTTAGCATATAAGTGAAGCTCCGAATTTTCCTTCTTGAACTGATGAGATCATCTGAAGTCACCAGGACGTAAAAAGGACCTGGATGGTGTTAATAATAAAGGACGGTTTTATTATCGTATTCATTGTAATTTAGTATATTGGTTTTATTGGAGTTATTGGAGAAGTGTTATCTGTAGTGGTAGTGTTTGTGTTATTAGTGTTATTTGTGAGATTTGTGTTGTTTGTGGGATCAGTGATGTTTGTGTTATTAGTATAGTCTGTACTATTAGTGTTATTGCCATTCTTGAATGTGTTTATATCGTGTGGTACGGTGTCACACCGATTTGCCGGTGTGACGCCGTATCCAAATTTAATTTGAAAAACTTATATAATATGGAAAAATACTGGAAAACGATGCAGAAAGCTTTTGTTAATTTCGTGAATTTTATTTTAAAAATTACGTTGAAAGTATTTTGAGACATGGAAAATTCTTCGTCTGAATCCATATTGTATCAATAAACACCACTTTAAAAATTAAACTGGCGAAGTAAACAAACAACACTCTTTGCTCTCTATAGCACTCACTCTGCCATTTTATAGCTTTGAAATAGCATGAACTATTATTGCATGTAGTATCGCATCGCTTCTCGCTTGCACTCTGACTTCAGCCTTACACATGTAACAGGCCATGGCTTAATTAGAGGAAAGATGTCGAAGCGATAAAAATGTAAATTTACAGCCTATTTCTGTAAAATTCGAAACGAACGAATTCGAGTGACTACCACCAAACCTTTATTTATGTAAAAATGTTTTTTATTAAAAACAAAAATAAATGACATATTTTTCAAAACCAAGGAGGTTGGTCGTGAGTCGCTCGAATTCGTTCGTTTAGAATTTCTCGAGATTTTTTTTCTCGTTTTTTAATTTTTTAGGATTCCAAAATATCACTTTTTTCAAATAAATAAAATGTGATAATTTGTTTTGTTTACAATTTTTGATTAAATGTCGTAGACACTAGTATTACAATAACAAATTTCCATGTGGTTGTTGTATCGTTTGTTGTACAACAACACTTGCTGTTACCTTCTATTATTATACCATGGTGATTGTCGTACAACAACACCTGCTGTTACCTTATAGTGTTATACCATGGTATATACAGTACTACCATGGTATACCACTATATATATAATCTACCTTGCTTAAAGAAATGTAGTAGGCATTGATATGTGTACATATTTTATGTGAAAAAAATATTTTCAATATTTTTTCCATTCCATTCAAGAACTTTAATAAAGACGTCTGTTTCAAACTTTCCAATAGAGAGCTACAAATGATCTGGTATGTTCTGGAACACATGGTGAGTTTATTTATTATTATTGCCTCCTGTTCGGCTTCTCTGAACGAATAGGGAAAAGCAAAAAATGAGAGATGCGGATTCGAATTTTCGAAAATGGTATTTGAAAAAAAGATTTGTTTTTTCACATTGCAATTTGTCCTTCTAATCATATTTAGCTACTCATCAGTCAAATTTGGCTAGGTGTTTTTTTTTTTTTTTTAAGTGACAGATCTTCTCCAATCAAATAAATATTCCTTATTACCTGTATATACATTCCGTGGCAATATTTGGTTGAGCACGCATCTTTATCAATAGGATTTCCAATGATATTTTATTTGTTTTCGAGTTAAAAATTAGCATACAATCATTTATAATATTCTAAATCGTCATAGAATAAGTATTGTGTAGATATTTTTCATAGCACAAAATGTCATCTCAATCTCCCACTTCCCTTAATCCAGAATAACTAAGTTTTCCCGTAGCGGATTTTTTCGCTTTCGAACTTCATTCAGTATATGGTGTTCAGAATAATTCGAAGGGGAAAAGCGAGTATTGCGAGCGAGAATTGACATACAGAATAAGGCTGTATATTTTTATATATAAAAACATGAATACACCCGACTCTCACTATGAAAATGTAAGTGTAAACAATTAAATTCAAAAAGTGCGTTACAGAACATCTTGACGTGCGTTCGATACCCTTCTACCGTTGAGTACCAGAGCATGCCCGATAGTTTCGACCGATATTGCAATATTATACCAATTTCAAATATATGAACTTTTAATAAATGCAAAATGTCAATTACAAGAACTTTGAATTGAAATACTATAAATTTATTTGACATATCTGACGGTAATATATATATACAAATCGATTCTATTAGGCTTCATACGGTTTCATAAGATTTTCAGAGAATTGTTTTATGTTTTCTACCCCTCTTACTTCCTTCTCCAACAATGGTAATTTAGTTACATGAAAATCTTCGTAAAGATCTGCTATCTGGTCCAAATATTTCTCTTGGATCTAAAAACAAAAAATATGTATGTATATGAAACAACACAATGTGAAATTTTCTAGCTTACCTTATATCTAGAAGCACACATTGCACACGGTTGCTGGTTTTGTTTCATAAACAATAATTGATTGACTATGATGTTATGGGTGTCAATACCGCACTTCGTTAGTTCTTGTACCAATCTCTCTGTTTCATATAATGATAAAAATTCCGCAATACAGACGCACACGAAGGTTGTTTGGTCCTATTCATATGAATGACAATTATACAAATATTAACATTTATTTTGATTGCACTTACAGGATCACGAAATTGTTCATTGACCTGGCGTATAACCTTTAGCATCTCATCAAGTTTCTGTGTTAGCGAATCAGCATTTACTGGCATTCCCAACAAGCTTCCAAACTGGGTTATAAATGGATTTATTTTTAGCTTTAATCTCTGCATTTTACCCAAGCCTTTCTCCACCACTTGGGGAAAAGACAACAAGCGTAACGTGTGTCCAGTAGGCGCTGTATCGAATATCACAACCGAAAAGTTCATCGCTTTTACAAGCCTTGTGAAGAAATGAATATTAATTTCTGATAGTATTTACAACTATGCAATAGGAAACATACTTCATAACTTCTGCGTAACTCATTGCCTCATCTATGCCCGGTAGAGCTCCCACTACTTCATGAAGAAAGCCTTTACTGAGGCGTAAAGCTTCATTATCTCCTTCAAAGTATTCATCCGGCAATTCATTTAAGCCCGCATTCGGATCAATTTCCATTGCATAAAGATTAGTAAATCCATTGACCTTTTTTTCAAGTTAGGAAAAAATATATGCATAAAACGCAATGAAAAACATACCTTTGTTGGGACTTTAGTAAACTTTTGATCAAAAGCATCTGAAATGTTGTGTGCAGGATCCGTAGATATAATCAATACGGATTCCCTAACTTTTGCCATTTGAACGGCCAAACTGCAACTGCATGTGGTCTTACCAACGCCACCCTTCCCACCAACAAAAATCCACTTCAAAGATGTCTGATCAATAACATTCTTTAAGCTAGGTTCCATAGGTTCAAATTCTTCAGCCATTTTACTATATTAAATTAATTCTAGAATAATTAAATATAAGACGTCACGAATCTACTGGAAATTAAGAGTTATTTTGTTCAGTTGAATGATTCACTGATACGAGCGTAATGAACAGTGTTGCCTTTCAAAAAAAACCTTATGTGTCTCCTATAAATACCCAAAATGAACAATTTATACCAGGGCTGTTCACACTAATCCATAAAATTTTTGTAATGCATTTGCTTCAAGTACATAAATTTCAAAATTTTTGTTTCTCTCTTAGTCTGCTTTTCCACAGGCAGATTTTTATTTGGCAAATTTTTTGTTTTCTCTTTTGAAATTTTCGCTTACTTTTCCATTAGCAAATTTTTCTTTGCCAAATTTGCGAATCAAAATAGAAAAGAAAGAAAATAAAAGTCAAAAGTGTTTGCATTTTAAAGATTTTTTTTTAATATTTTATTTATTTTTTATATATTTTATTATATATATTGCAAAAATTAAAAATTAAATTTCACTTGCACAAATTAAAGCAACAGGTTTGTAAACAAAAGCCGGCTGTGTGTCAGTAAAGCGAATAGGTTCAAAAGGAAATGTCAACAAAATTGATTTCAACGAACAGAGCAAAGCAGAATTTGCGTGTACGGCAAATTCTGAATAGGCAAATTTTTGTTTTTCTTCCTCGCATCCCTCTCGCCTACAAACTCAGTATTTGCCAAATAAAAATTTGCCTGTGGAAAAGCAGACTTATTAGACTGTGATAAAAAATTTTAGGAACAACTCTAGTTTAGTTAGAACGAGCAGATTTTTCTGACATTTTTTCCAATGGTAGGTATTTTTACTCTAATTATGGGGATATATTTTTTTGGGGGATGTACCCGGTTGTATCCAAGTCTACGGATCTGGTTAATATAAAATTGGTATCATTTTAAAGCTTATAAAAATACCTTTGCATTGAGTGGAGGGGTTATCTCAATCCGTTTTGAAGATACCGCCAAAAAAGTAGGTTTTGAACCCCGTTTTTTTTTTTTTTGTAAAACTCCATAAAAGTCGAACGATTTAAAATTGTAAACAAGAATGCCAACTTCTGATTGGCTGTTATGTGCATTTTGAAGTATTGCGTCAATGTTTGGCATATTTACTAGATTTGCGTTCCCGAACTTTTCAAATTATTTTTACTCTGAGAGCGATTTTGAAATGTTTCCCTTTGTGCTGTACTGTGTAGACAAAGATACAGACAATTTTTACAAACCCATTTACAATTTTGGCAATTGTCTAGAGACTGTCGAATGAAAAATTCGACTGAAATGGACTTAACGTAAAATGAATCGAAAAAAAAACATAAAGTGAATCGAAAAATCAAAATTTATTATTACCTTTCATGAATTCGATTTTTTAAAATTGTCTAGATGCCCACGCCACAAAGGCAAATTTTAATTTATTTAAAATTAATGCATCAGTTCGTCTTCGGACGGCTCACAAGAAAGACGTATTTTAAATATTTAATCACGCCTACGGGATTAAAAAAATACAAAATGGCGCTGTGTTACGTTGTCGCTTAACTTGCCACGTGTTGTATCTACACAACTAAACGAAAAATAGTTTATCAACGAATACAAACTTGAGCGAAAATTGTTTATAAGAAGATCTCGGTCATGGTACAATAAATAGGTAATCTATTTAGAGCACCTGATATCTCGAATTACTGTCAAAGTGCGTAATTTCTACTTCAATTCGATGCGCAGTGTTGCCAACCATGTGAAATATTATAAGGAAAAAATTGACAGATAATCGAGACAAAAACAAAGGTTTTTGTTTTGATACATCACCTAGTTATTGCATCATGGAGTTAATCTATGTGCACCGAGCGACTCATTTATGGTGTTTCTACACGATATGTATTTTACATATGTGCTGTCACTTTTTTTACATATGGAAATCGAACTCGTCATGTGAAACATACGGAAATTTCAATGTGTCAAAACGATATGCAATTACATATGGATTTTTTTCCGAATAGGACGCGCTCTATTTTCGTATGTGAAACATAAGGAAATCAGCTGTTTGAACGAAACACATTGTTGGAAGAAAATATTTCAATTGCAATTCAAAAAAAAAAAAAAGGATGAAAAGGCAACAATTACAAATTATTATTTCGTTTGTAGGTGTTTAATAAAAAAATGATGTTGATTTAAGAAAAAATAAAAGTGTTTTTTTGTTTATAGGTTATGTCATATGTAAAATACATATGCCGATTTGAACACAAAAATAAATCTTTTGTGTACACTGCTAATTTTGACACACATAAGGAATTACATATGGATGAAATAAGTGACAGCACATATGTAAAATACATATCGTGTAAAAACACCATTAATGAGAACCGTTGCAACTGTTGTACTTTTTGGCACAAAAGCAGGATTGTATAGCATAGTATGTTGTTTTCGTGCGTTGTTTAAAATAAATGACGCTGGATTTGTCATTTATTTTTGTATGGTAGGTAAATGACGCAAAATGTTTCCGGTTTAGGGAATAAATGACACAACAGCCCTAAATCCTGAATTTTCTGTTGCATGTAAATGTGTCACCTGGTTTGACCATGGTATAATAATTTCTCAAGGTGGCTTGTTCCATCAAATCAAAATACATATTTTGAGTATGTGTCAAATAAATTGAAATATATGCAAATTTAATTGCGCCCGTCTGGAAGTAATTACTTTGTATGGATGAAACAAATATTTCATGGTATTCCCTACTGGATTTTGGAAAGAAATCATAACATTTCATTCATTTTTTGCGTTTAATTATGTGTTAAACATGTCAAATAAACACAACCGTTTCGTATATTTATTTAATATTTGGCAAAAGAATTCACCAACAACATAGTTGTTATTCAACTAATGCTGTTCTACCTTGTATTATTGTAACATGATGCAATCAAGGTGTATTTAATAAGGTGTATGCATCAGATACAACAACAAATATTTTACAAAAACAACATTGTTGTTATAGAAATTAAATTGTCATGCTGACAATAAGTTTTTTACAAAAATAAACAAAAACAATTATTAATTAATTTTTGTCAAGAACTATTCTTTGAGGAATAATTAATTAATTTGTGTATTCTTGGGTTATTGGCGGTTTTAGGTCAGTGAAAAATAAAGTTTACGACCTGGTCGCGATTAATTTTAAGTTTCCCACATGCAGCCCATGGCTCCTTGTGATGTTTATATTGCGAATTACCATTAATTTTTTCTATGGAGTGACTTCAAATCTTGCCTTCTTAAAGAAAATTAAAGACCATTTTTGAAATCGAAATATAATATTGTATATTGTATATAAAGAAAAAAGTTTGAAACCATATGATTGTCACTTAAACGGCATATACATTAGAACTTTTTACCGGGTTAACCTACTTTATGAGGATTTATTTGACATATATGCAAAGGAATTGACAATTGAAACCCGGTTAAATGTAAACGTACTATTACACCGTATTAAATATACCTTGGATGCAATATTATTGTAACATGATGCAAAAAAACTTTGTTTTTGTCTCGACCATCTGTCAAATTTTCCTTATAATATTTTATATGGTTGGCAACATTACACATCGAATTCAAGTAGAAATTACGCACTTTGACAGTTAATAGCTCTGTCTGTTTACTCGATAATCTGCTGTTTTATGACCAAACACAAAAATTATTCAAAACATTTTTTTAATTTGCAAAGTTCAAATTGAAGTTAAGTTGTATACAAATTACAGAAAATGGAAGAAAATTCGTAAATAATGCAAAGTTTCATTAAATTAGAAACTAATTCCTTATATATATTTAGGCAAGTTCAGATAGAGGGCAATGTATTGATGCAGGAAGCTTAAATGTTCCCGGGGAACATGCCAAATCAAATTTTCTTCTATTATTCATTTTATTTTTAATATTAAATGCAATACAAATATTTGTGTTCGTCCATTGTTTGTTGTTGTAGCAACAGAATACATGTCGTTTTGTCATGCATCGTCTGGTTCTGCATCTTCTACCTTCAGGAATGCTGCAACTTCAGCGGGTTGCGTCCAAAGTGAATTCGGCGATATGTGAGTAGGCTTAGCTGGGCAATTGAAGAGGTGCAACGTGTCGTGTGGTCCTAGTCCACATGCCGGACATGTGTTAGGTATGGAGCCGTTAATTCTTGCCCAATATGAATTGAGGCGGTTGCACCATCCTGATCTTAGTTGAGCTAAGACTACTCGTGTTTGCCTTGGCAGCTGCGATGGATAGGGGTGGTCTCCAATTATGGTATTCACTCGATATTGCTCTACTGCCTGAGCGATTGCATCCGTGTGAATAACATTCAGACCATCCATTGTTTGTTGTTTATTTAGGCGCAAATCAAATTTTTTCTTGAATCAGCTGTTTAAATCTTACTAAATTTTGTCTGTTTACTTTTCTCAGTATTATAGCAAAAGTGAGTAAAAAAGGCTTACTCTCTGAACTATAACTTACTGAATAAATCAGTGATGCACACGGTGAGAGGCTGGCATTTTGTAAATGTATGTGTGAGACTAGCACACAAAGTTAAAACGGGCCACACACATTTAACATGTGCTTTACATCGGTATGAAATAAATTAAAAAAATAAAGTAAATAAAATTGATCGGTCTTTTTTGCGTCGTCACTATCGCTGACCTTCTGTGTGTGGGCCGCTTAAGCGTGGCCGCAATATGATTCACACCAGCATAGACATGTTTACTTGTTGAAGTCTGAACAACGACTAAACAAATGAGCGTAAGAATCCGTGTGAGTTGAGCTGACCGCTAGAGTGCAAGGGCGTGCATCCCTGAAATAAATGTTACTGGAAAAGTAACCAGACACACCTAATATTACATTTCAAATCCCAATTTTTAATTTGTCAAACCTTAAAAAGCGTATCTTTTTACATCAGCAAACTTCTGCGTTGTCCACATGCATAAAAGAACGTCGTCACACATTAACATTTCAGGATGGCTCGGTTCTCCGACTATAGCTGCCA